GTCGCCTACAGACGCTCACCCGGCGGAAGTGGGGCCGGGAGGTGGAGCCCAACGCCGGGGGCGGGGCTACGGCTGCCGACCTCCGCCCGCCGCCGTTCGCGTTCAGGCGCTCTCGGGGAGGTGCCCTTGGAGCCGGCCCTTAATGAACATGTCAGTCAGAGCTCCGCCTCGGCTGTCATTCAAGATGGTGACCGGAAGTCCCCTCCTGCCCTAACTGAAAATGGCAGCGATAGCAACGCTTCCCCGCCTCCCGTAACCAATATGGTTGCCATGGCTTCAGCCCAGGCGTTCGTGACGCTACGCTTCTGTCTTCGAGGTTCCACCTTCACAGAAGGTTCATTTAAGCCAGGAGGGTGCGGTAGTGGAGCTGTGCCATTATTTCCATTTTATAAACAGGCTTTGAAAGGCTGGGTAACCTTCCCAGAGACTAACCGCTCAGATTTGAACCGAGGTCTTTCTCTCTAGTCTCTCAGTGCATCCTTCCACATTTTCTCCAGACTTATAAAAATATGCACAAACTTTAAAAAAATCATCCAGTCTTATGCCTTAAATACCACATACACGCGGAAGATTCCCATTTTTTTATCTCTACTCCTGATTCCTCCGTATATATCACACCTGCCTATTCAACATCTCCCCTTTTCTCAAACCCAACTCTTCGGTCTTCTTTAGAATGTCAGCTCCACAAAAGCAGGGATATTTATCGGTGTTCTTTATTTATGTATTCCCAGCATGTGGTACACAGTCAATGAATATTTGTTGAATGAGTGAATAAATGGATATGTAAAATCACCTGTGTTTTTAAAAAGTTTTTTTAGAAGTTTTTATTTCAATTCCGGTTAGTTAACAGTGTTATTTTTAAAAGTTTTAAAACAAAAACTGAGTCGTGCTACACGTATTTTTTAAAAAGCAAACATGTTTGGGGCGCCTGGGTGGCTCAGTCGTTAAGGGTCTGCCTTCCACTGGGGTCATGATCTCCAGGTCCTGGGATCGAGCCCCACATCGAGCCCCACATCAGGCTCCCTGCTCGGCAGGAGGCCTGCTTCTCCCTCTCCCACGGCCTGCTTGTATTCCCTCTCTCGCTGTGTCTCTGTGTCAAATAAATAAATAAAATCTTTAAAAAAAAACAAAAACGAAAACATGTTTGAGGACATGTTTTCAATTCTTTTGGGTAATAAACCTAGCAATGGAACTGCTGGATATGGTAATTCTATGTTTAACTTTTTGAGGAACCACCAAACTATTTTCCACAGCAGCTGAACCATTTTACTTTCCAACTAGCAACATATATGTGTTCCAATTTCTCCACATCATTGCCAACACTTGTTCTATCTGTTGCTGTTATTTAAATTATTATAGACATCCTAATAGGTATGATGAGATATATCACTATGGTTTTTTTTTTAATATTTATTTTTTTATTTTAAAGATTTGTTTATTTTAGAGAGACAGAGAGAGAGAGGTGGGAGAGGGACAGAGGGAGAGGACAGAAAGTCTCAAGCAGGCTCCACCCTGAGTGTAGGGTCCTACCGGGGGCTCCAACCCATGACCCTGAGATCATGACCTGAGCCAAAACCAAGAGTCATACACTCAACTGACTGCGCCACCCAGGTGCCCCTTAAGATTTTATTTTTAAGTAGGCTCCACACCCAACATGGGGCTTGAACTTGTGACCCCGAAATCAAGAGTCACATACTCTACCCACTGAGCCAGCCAGGTACCCCAACTCTCACTATGGTTTTGATATGCATTTCCCTGATAACTAATGATGTTAGACATCTTTTCAGGTGCCTATTGGCCATTTATATATCTTCAGAGAAACGTCCATTTAAGTCTTTTGCTCATTTTTAAATTGGGTTGTTTGTGGGTTTTTTGTTGTTGAGTTGTAGAAGTTCTTTTTATTCTAGATATTAGTCTTTTAAAAAAATATTTATTTGAGAGAGAGAGAGAAAGAGATCATGAGCGGAAGGGGCAGAGGGAGAGGGAGAGAGAATCTCAAGCAGACTCTGCACTGAGCATGGAGCCAGACACTGGGTTTGATCTCACAACCCTGAGATCATGACATGAGCTGAAATCAAGAGACGCTTAACCAGCTGAGCCACTCGGGCGCCCCTCTAGATGAGTCTTTTTTTTTTTTTTTAAGATTTTATTTATTTATTTATTTGACAGAGAGAGACACAGCGAGAGAGGGAACACAAGCAGGGGGAGTGGGAGAGGGAGAAGCAGGCTTCCCGTGGAGCAGGGAGCCCGATGTGGGGCTCGATCCCAGGACCCTGGGATCATGACCTGAGCCGAAGGCAGACGTTTAACTACTGAGCCACCCAGACGCCCCTAGATATTAGTCTTTATCAGACATACAATTTACAAATATTTTCTCCCCTTCTATGGGTTGTCTTTTCACTCTCTTTGATTCAGAAAAGTTTAATTTTGATGAGGTTCAATTTGTCTGCTTTTTCTTTTGTTGCGTGGACTTTTACTATCATACTTAGGAAATCATTGCCAAATCAAAGGTCAAGATTTTCACCTGTTTTTTTTCAAGATTTTATTTTATTTTTTTTTATTTTTTTTAAAGATTTTATTTATTTATTTGAGACAGAGAGAATGAGATACAGAGAGCATGAGAGGGAGGAGGGTCAGAGGGAGAAGCAGACTCCCCGCCGAGCAGGGAGCCCGATGCGGGACCCGATCCCGGGACTCCAGGATCATGACCTGAGCCGAAGGCAGTCGCTCAACCAACTGAGCCACCCAGGCATCCCTCAAGATTTTATTTATTTATTTGACACAGAGAGAGAGAGAGCACAAGCAGGGGGAGTGGGAGAGGGAAAAGTGTCTTCCCGCCGAGCAGGGAGCCCGATGCAGGGCTCGATCCCAGGGCCCTGGGATCGTGACCTGAGCTGAAGGCAGATGCTTAACCAACTGAACCATCCAGGTGTCCCTTTCTATTTCTTCTTGAGTCAGTTTTGGTAGTTTTTATATTTTTTAGAAATTTTTCATTTCAGGGGCGCCTGGGTGGCTCAGTTGGTTAAGCGACTGCCTTCGGCTCAGGTCATGATCCTGGAGTCCCGGGATCGAGTCCCGCATCGGGCTCCCTGCTCGGCAGGGAGCCTGCCTCTCCCTCTGACCCTCCCCCCTCTCATGTGCTCTCTGTCTCTCTCATTCTCTCTGTCTCAAATAAATAAATAAAATCTTAAAAAAAAAAAAATGGATCTTTAAAAAAAAAAAAAAAGAAATTTTTCATTTCATCTAGGTTATTCCATTTGTTGCTGTACAGTTGTTCATAACATGCTCTTATAATCATTTTTATTTCCATAAAGAAGAGATAGATCAGGGGCGCCTGGGTGGCAGCCTGAACGGACTAAGGACAAAACATGATATTATCACATTTTCCTTATTTGCATCAGTGCAGTTAATATTGTTGATGAGTCTTTACTGCTGATTATTGTGCCGCGTGGCTTGACCATCCCTGACCTCCCTCCTGAGCCCCAGATCTGACATTCCTGCAGCCTCTTGGATGGCCTCCTCCAGAAGTCTCTCAGACCTCCCACACCTGCCGTGACCCCAAAGGCCTCAGTCTGTCCCCAAAACCTTCTCCTCTCCCTGGTCATCTTAGGGACAGCCTCTTTGTCCCTCAGTCTTCATGGCAGAGCCCTGGACATTTTCTTTTCTTTTTTTAAGTAGGCTCCATGCCCAGCGTGGAGCCCAATGCAGGGCTCAAACTCATGACCATGAGATCAAGACCTGGGCTGAGATCAAGAGTTGGATGCTCAACCAACTGACCCACCCAAGCACCCCAGCCCTGGACCTTTTCCTAAATGTCTCCTTTGCTCCCATTCCCTTCATGGTCCTCCAGCCCCATGGTCTGTTCACTAGGCCTCCTGAGCATCTCTCCCACCTGCTGCCTCCTCCCCTCCCTATAGTAGGCTTTGGTCTAGCCCCATCCTCGTCTGTCCAGATCTCTGGCCTCCTGCCTCCCTGGGATCTCTGCCTCCAGGCCTGAGCCGTCCTCCTCAGGAGCACCTTTCTACATCTAACCATGTCCTTTGGCCTCTCAGCTCTGAGTACTCTTCTGATAATTTCCAAGCTCCAAAACATGACCTCAGCACCCTTGCCTGCTCTGGAGCTTTGCTATCTCATCATGGACAAGCTGGTCCAGCTGTCTGCCCTGATGTCCCCTCAGAGTATGTGTCCCCTGGGCCTCTACTCCCAGAGTAGGGGAGTAGAAGAGAGTGGTCACAGAACCTCCATAGTCACTTCACCCAAGATCTCTGGTGAGGGACTGGTGTTGAGCTTATTAGGTGGAGAGTGGGTAGAGTACAAGGTGTGTTTGTGTGTGTGGGGGGGGGTATTTTGTTTTGTTTTGTTTTTGCCTTTCAGATTTTTGCCTTCTTGACAGCACATTTTCCTTTCCTCAGCTCCAGGGGTGGGCTCAATTTGCTTAAACCTCTGGCAGTGTGAGTAGTAAAATGGTGAGCTCAGGACCCATCCCCATCCAATCAGAGTGACTGATAGGACGTGCTTGGGAATGTTGGACTCCAGCCCCTTCTTTCTCTGGACAATAAGATATGTGGACCTCAGACCTTGAAGGGGGCTGGCCTGAGGTTAGAGACCACACGCAGAGGAGGGCAGGTCAGGAAAAGCTACAGAGAAATGGAGCCAGACCCCTATAGACATTGAAGACTTCTGGATCAAACTGTACCTGAACCCCAATTAGAGCCCATACAATTACCATTTCTATGTAGGCCATTTAAGTGAAATTTTTGTTACTTGCAACTAAAACAAAAATCCTAACCTCTCCAAAGTCCTGTCCTTAAGCTAGACACTAGATAGGTATTGAAATTCAAAATACTTAATGATTGGTACTAAACCTGGGCACTGAACAATCAGAATGTACTGCAGGCCACAGAGATGGGCCTGGGTCATGGAAGACCTTGCTGAACTGAGGGGAGGTTGGGGGCAGCCCGGGGAGGGGCGGAGTTGTTAGGCACACAGAGAAGCTGCTATTTACCAGTTAGCACAGAAGGATTTTGATTTTAATGACCTGTATGGCTGTGTGGTACAAACTAACTGAACGTGAGCCCTTACAAGGGCCCACAGCTGGTCCTGAAATGAGGATTTAGGTCTGAAGGAGCAGTGAAAATTGAAGGAAAACAAAACAAAAAAAGCCTGGGACGAGTGATAATTGCTTTTCCAAGATGGCCCAGGAAGTGAGGGGGGCACACTGGTGGGGGTTGGGGCAGGCAAGAGGCTCAGGTAATAGACTGCTTCTTCGAGGTTTCCTCAGGGGCCTCCTGGTTCCCCTCTGCCACTTTGGAACTGACGCTGGAGCTGACGCTGGACGTGCCCTTGGATTTGGTCCCAGATGTCCCGCTAAAGACTCTAGAAGAGGACGTGTAGGTGTAGTATGACTCTGATGTGATGATGTTGTTGATCTTCCAGCGGAGGATGTTGCAGGCCTTCACCATAACAGGCAAAAGGAGGCAGAAGATGATGTAGAGGATCACCAGGCCGATAAACACACTGGATGACACCTGCAGACACCACACAACAGACATGGGTAGGCAGCCTGAGAGCCCCATTCTCCTAACAGGGCAGCTCCTGGGCAGCCACTCACCATGAGGATTAAGAGGGCCCGCTTGGCACTGAGTGGGAGCCCATGGATATGCAACAGGAAGATGAGCTGGTGGTCACAGTATGTGCTCTTGTCCACACCTCTGGGGGGAGGGATGGGGTTCAGCATTGGGGGAGGAGTGGGGCACCCCATAGGAAGCCCCCAACTCTACCTGGACCACATGCCTGGCTCACCTGTTGCTCACCAACACCTTGAAGAAGAATTCGGGGGCGAAGATGGTATGGGGAATGGTGTCATGGCATGGGGAGTTCTCCAGACACAGCCACCTGGGGACCCAAGTTCAGGCAACGTGCTACCAATCATGCCTAGCATGTGCCAACCTCTGATCTCTCCCTCCAGCCCACAAACTCTGGGTGAGAGCCAACTAGATGTAACCTCGTCCCTTCTTCCCTGATTCGCTCCTTCATTCATTCATCCAATAAGCCTGACTCCACGCCTACCCTGTGACAGGCTGTTTACTCAATCACGTCCTCCAGCCTTAACATCTCCATCTGTCAATTCCTCCATTACAATGCAATCGTCTAGATTATGGAGGGTATATCTATCATGTGCCAACTCCTCATTTATTCCTTGCTGCCTTCATTCCTTCAGCCCACAAATATACCTTGAGGTCCTACTAGGTACAAAGTCATATCTCCATTCATTTATGCTTTCCTTTATTCATTTATTCGATAAATATAGGTTGACTACTGACTAGGTACAAGTTGGTTGCTCCATTCATTCATTCACTTCCTTCATTCGCTCATGGTATCATTTTCTTCCTGTCACTGAATCAAAAATATTTATTGAGCCCCTATATATTAATTTGTTCCTCCATTGTTTTATTCATTCATCAGGACCTCCATTCAAATGTCAATAAATGCCTACCATGAATGAATGAATGAATTCCTTCACTGTCTCAGTCAATAAATACTATGTTTAGTCTATCAGGACCTGGACCTATAAGGGGGACAGACCCCACAAGAGACAGTGACAGCCCAGAGGGGCAGGTTGGGATGGGGGAGGCACAAGCAGAGAGGTGACGGTGAGAAGAGGCAAAGCACAGGAGGACGTGGGAACCCAGGTCCCATTTAGAACAGTCAGAAAAGTCCCCTGGACGAAGGGGCATCTGAACTAAGGCCTGAAGAAAGAATAAGAGGGACCAGCACTGCGGACAAGGAGTCAGCCCCATTTGAGGAACACGAAGGCAGTCAGTCTGGCTTGAAGATCAAGAGGTCTCCCAGAGGCAGAAAGGACAACAGCCCAGACAGACTGTGGATAGGCGGGGGATAAGGGGACCAGCAGTCAGGCCATGCACTCACTCGATGCCCAGACTCTGATGGGTCATGATGTTGAAGGCCGAGTCCTTGGTGGTTGTTGTGTTCTTGGTGGTCCAGATGAGGCTGTTAGTCCTGTGCAGGACCAGGTAACCTCAGTGGGGGGGGGGGGTGACCACCGCTGCAGGTGCAGAGAGAGGCCAGCAGTATGAGCAGTGGAAGGAAGGGGCAGGGGGAGCCTTAGGAGGGCGGGGCCTGGCAGCATGGGCGGGCAAGCATTTGTGCCATCCTAGGAGCCTTGAGATACCAGGTGAGTGGTGCTTGCAGCGAGGGTGAGGTCTGTGGCTGGGAAGCAGGAGAGGCCTGCAGAGGAAAGAGGGTGGATTGTGGGCAGGGTCCTGCAGGCATTACTTGTCCAAGGGGCTGTTGAAGCGGTAAATCTCCTCCTCGCTGTATTCCTTGATGGTGTCCATTGTGGGCCCACCGCCTACCACCTTGAGCACGTAGCTGCCGGGTGCAGAGGAGCATGTGCACTGACTTCAGGGTCCAGAGTCCTGCATCACCTCTACCACCCACTCCGCACGCTCCCCCCCTATCCATTCCCACCCTCCAAACTCCCATCAGTCACTGGCTTGGCCACATCTTTACCTGCCCTGAAAACTGCCTGAATCTCCCGTCACCAAGTCTTGGATCAAGAAGAAAGGGTAGAAGACTGTGGGGTGGGAGGGAGGCCAGGAGGAGAAAAAATTAGCTTGGCCCGAGAAGTGGAGGGTGGAGAAGGGGAGGAAGGAGAGATGAGAAGACCAAGGGGAAGAGCAGAGGGTGAGTGAGGAAGTGAACGGGCAGTGAGGGAAGGCGGGCCCAGTGGTGGGGACAGAGGGCTGTGAAGGAATGGGGCGAGGGGACTGGACACGCACTATCACGGAAGAGGAAGCAGGGCATCTCGGGGTCAATGTGCACGCAGTCGAAGTAGTGTTTGTTCTGCAGGCGGTTGTACTCCAGTGTGTAGGTGATGTCGAAGGCCAGCCGCTTGCCTGGGGGGCAGCCGATGAGCACTGGCACCATCAAGTTGCCCTAAGTGGGAGGAGAAAAGCCTTGCACTGGGGGGCGCGGCAGACACCCCTCCTCCCACACACCTCGCCCCTTCCTGCCAGGCTCACCCTCACCCCTGCCATATGACCATTATTACCATTAAAACAATACTCTAAAAAGTGCAAACTATTTATGTCATTCTTACTGTGTGCAAGGCACGGGGTGATGTTCTAAGTGCTTCAAGCTCAAATTGAATCCTCAAAAAAACAAGCCTTGTATGGTAGAGACTATTCACATCCCCATGACAGAGACAGCAAAATGAGGCACAGAGAGGTCAAGCCATTTGTTAATTATCCAAAGCCCCACCTGAAGTGGGTAGAGCTGGAATTGGAACTGAGAGGTTGGCTCCAGCTGCCTCCGGAAAAAGACACACAACATCACCATCACCTACACCTACGGGGGAGCCAACTTGTAGGTGGACTGCATGGGGCTCAGGTTGGGCCTGAATTCTCAAATAATAATAGATCGGGGAGGAGCCTGGGATATAGGAGGGAAGGGAAGCTCAGGATGGGGGTCAGAGGTTAGGGAATTCCCATGACATCATCTTCAAAATGAACAGCCTTTGGCCCATTTCGGGGGTAGGGTCCAAAGGTTTCATCCAATTGTCAAAGGGATATGGACAGGCAAAGACTGGCATGAGCTTCACGGTGACTGGGGAGAGGGGTTGGTGGCCATAGATTAAGCAAGCACTCCCCATGCTAGGGCTGGGCCCAAGATTTTACACCTATCAGCCGCTCACGCACTGGGAGGTCCAATGGGCAGCTCAGATTCCACCTATCCACAACTCATCTTGGCTAATGGCACCTCATCGCTCCGTGTTCAGGCTAAAAGCCTTGTCCTGGAAACCTCTCTCTCTCATACCACAGCCAGTCCATTTAGACATCCTGTTGTCTCTAGACTTCAAAACAGAGCCATCCCCTCCCCGACCTCCTCAACTCTTTTGCTCCCCCCACCACCTTGTCTTGCCCAACCTTGTTTCCTCCCTGGTCTCCCTGCTCCTGCCCCTCCCCCCAGTCTATCCCCTGCATGCAGGCTGTGAACTCCTGAGTCCCTCCTCGGCTCCTGGGGCACCATGGCCCACTAGGCCTCACATGATCTGCCCCCTTACTTCATCTCATCTCTCTCCACTTTCCTCTGCGCACACACGCACACCCACCCACCCACACACTGTGACAAGTTTCACATCCATCCCCATTCCCATTCCTGTTCCTGCCTCTCCTCCATCCCAGAGCAGCAATTCACTCTAAGGACTTTTGCACTTATCTTCCCAGTTTCTTCATGCAAATAAAAACCAACATGAATATATGTTCTCAATTAGCCTCCTTCATGCTAATGTTTTATACATACTGTTCTGCACCCAGTTTTTTCCTCTTAAGAATAAAATACCCGGGTGCCTGGGTGGCTCAGTTGGTTAAGCGACTGCCTTCAGCTCAGGTCATGATCCCAGGGTCCTGGGATCGAGTTCCGCATCGGGCTCCCTGCTCTGCGGGGAGCCTGCTTCTCCCTCTCCCACTCCCCCTGCTTGTGT